TTTTATGCTATGTTTGAACAAGTTGTGCATAATATCTGCTCAAAAAATGCATCAATGTTTTCAAATTTACTTAAAATAATTGATATTTATTAAAATTGTTTTTGTCAAAACTTAATATTAAACCATAATACATTGAGATAGTATGAGAATTAGATTTTTATTTTAAATGTACACACAATTTTAATTATACTTTAAAGTTTAACATAAAGTTGTGTTTCATAAAAGTATTACTATGCAAAATATATATGTAGATATTATTAATAGGTTTTGTGACATATAATTAGTAGTAAATGAACTACAAAACAATTTAGAATAATAAATAATAACTTTTTTATTATTATTGTTCTAATACAATTTAGAGGTAATTTAAATTAATCAAGTTAAACTCAAATTATTTTATCATTTAATTTTGATTCATTTTCTAAAGATTAATGGTGAATTAATTGACAGAAAATAATACTCAAATATTGTAATTATATTTTTTGTTAATATCTAGCTTTGTAATTATTTATTACCAACCATTGCTTATGATAATTTTTTTGAGTGAATTTAAGTACAATTTTTGTAATTTATAAGTTCTTAGAAAATTAATACATTTTTTGATAAAAAAAATTAAAATATTTAGCAGTATACTGTCTTTAATTATTATACTATTAATCTAGATAATGCATAAGTAATAATTTTATTTCTAAAAAAATACTATGTTATTCAATTAAAATATAATTTAAAAAATTAAAACATAATATCTTGAGTAATTTCAGAATTATTATCAAGATAAAATCAGACATTTTTGAGTAACCTATTAATATATCTATCCATAATATTTATTAGATATTATACATTTGGACCAATAGTATTTAATCAAATAGTCCTTGTTTCAGATCACTCAATAATTTTGTAAGTCTAAATATTTAATTATATTGAAATCTATGCAACCAAACTATTGAAGATTTATACCTAAACTTTAAAATTTAGGATCTAAAATGGTATGATATAAACAGTTATCTATAGACATGCATTTATAAATAAGTGAATAAGAAATTAAAACTACAATTGAAAAAATACAAAACTATCGATTGTCTATCAGTACTTAGTTGTTTAATAATATAAAATATACATTTTAAATTATAATTGATGACGCTCACATTTATATGCCAATTACCAGAGTTTGTAATGAGATTTGTAAATAGTATTTAGCAAATGTCAAATAATAAATACCATTACACATAGAAGTAGATTAGCGTTTTATAAACAGCACAATTGTTACAAATAAAGCAATACTTATACAGTCATACACAATAGACTTAAGCAGAGTTAGTAATTTTTTCAACTAGTTAAAGTAAATTAATTTAGCATAAAATCTAACTGAGCTATGATATAAGTTTCCCAAATCTATCCTAGTTTAAAGTTGTTTATTGAAAATAATAACTAATGTAAGATGTTAGTTTTTGTTAAATGCTTAGTTAAAAATATAAATTAAGAAGCCCATTTGTTAAATTGTAAAGCATTTCATTATCTTAATAAATAATTAAATACTAATTACATTGGATTTATAAATTATATAATAAATAGCCATGGTTTAAACGATGGTTTATAGAAATTAATGTAAGAGATTGATAGGAAATATTATAAAAGAGGTATAATCTATTATAGAAAAATACTAAATATTAATTAAACAAAACAGGTTTTTAAAATAAATAAAAAATCCTTAAGAATCATTTATTATTTTTATTTATACGATTAGATTATTTATTTAATGCACTAAACCGTCTAAACCCAACTCTCTTTAAGTTTGCTCAGTGTTGTTCATACACTACAAGTTACAACTTACAACGCATATTTATTATTTATTATTTATGGCGTTGAACAATGCCAATGATATCATTAATACTATTTAATACATAGTTTATTCTCTGTGATAACAAACAAACAAAGTAACAAATAACCATATATTTGTAAGTGTAACGTTTTAATATCAATTCACACCTTTTTATTTAAAGTTCAGCAAATAATTAACTAACGGCTAACAAGTGTAGATAGTAAAACACTTAAACGGCACATAAGTCATAAAAATAAAAATTATCTATTATTATGAATTTATGTGAATAATATAAATTAATTATAGTCATTAGTCAGCGGCCGTGGCGTCTGTGCGATGAACAGCATTCCGACGGTTATCAATGATAATTCATAAGGATGATAATGACGATACGTGTGGCAACACTGTATGACGCTTATCACGGCTAATCAGCGATTTACTTTCTTCCGCACACGTCACACGCACGTAACAATGGTCCATTCATTTATTCATTATCTCCAATCCCCCAATGATTCTGGAACCCCCCTTCCCACGGCCGTAGATATGAATACATAATATTATTATTATTATTTATTGTTATTGCTGTTTCTCAGTAAGTTCGACTGTCCGAGATCGTGGTCGGCGGCGAGCGACGAGAGATAGAGAAATCAGCCGTCGCGATCTCTAAAAATCCGGGATCCCGGCGGCGAGTCGTCGGCCGCGGCGTTACGTTTGACGAGGCCGACTCTGCGTAGACCGCCGTAATCGTTTCTTCTTCCACGGTCGGAGCTACACGCCAGCACGGGAATCAACGGACCCTACACCGCCACCCGACCACCACCACCTGACCCCACCAATCATGACAATTTCGGTTCATAACAATTATTATTGTAATCGCAACGATGTGATAAACACACACACACACACACACACGTCTCTGTGATTTCGTAACGTTATACGTATACGTGGATTACACACACACACATATATATATATATATATTTATAGTATGTGCTCATACACGATACATATGTATTAAAATGTGTGCGTATGTGTGCGCGCGCGCGCGCGTGTGTGTTCGTACTTCCATAATCGATTGTTAACGCGAATAATTTTTCTACTATTCCATAGAATTATTATTGTTGTTGTTGTTGTTGTTGTCGTCCGTCGCCTTTGTCGTGCCGTTTTCGCCGTTGATGTTTGACGTCTAAGTGTAACGTCACAGTCGTGTCCGCGTCGGCGGACGCGCGACAGCCCACCCGTCAAAGTACAGCCGACTAAAATGGCCCAAGCCCGAACGCGTTGATCGTCACCGGGCTCGACGAGACGAGTGTGGCGCGTCGAAAACACCGTTGGTGTTTGCGTGCGTTTGCATGTGAGTGTTTGTTTAGGTCCCGGCCGTCGGGTACTGGGGATTAATCCCGGTGTCCCGGTCGTTCCTAATCGCCAAACGCGATCGTGTTTTATCTACGAGCCTAACGACTCGTTGATAAATAACAATAATAATAATAATAATAATCTTTCAGAGCATGACATATATCAACAACGCAATCATGTTGATAGAAGAAGAAGTCGCCGGCAACATGTCGAACAAACACAACAGCAAGGTTCAAGACAAAAATATATGGAAATCGTTGCGGACGCACATTTTGTCTCGTCGCGAGAAGAACAAACAAGGTACGTTTTCCGCGGTCTTTATTGATACATCATGTTGTTCTGCACTGTGCTCGGTAGGTTTAGTTATTGTTGGGTAGATGTTTTGTGTTAGGTGCGTGCATGCTGCCATGCAATGAAAATCGGCCTGTTTGTAGACGATGAAAGCAAATGAAAAAAAATAAAATTTACCCAAAATTAAATATTCAAAATACGTTTTGGCCCTGTGCCAGTTAATAAGTTGTCAAAAATATTCTTAGATGTGGTAGAGAGAATCAGTTACCTAAATAAATTATTGTTTTGTGAAATACTGCAATTAAATCTATTAAACAAAAAAACAATTATTTCTTCTAAATAAGTATTCATGAAATAACCCTAAATCAAAGATTTAGCTTTATTTATTAATTTTCTCAGCTTTGCTCTTATATTTTTTCTCATTGAATTAGTTTTTATTTCAAAAGAACGTTAAATCGTTTTTATAAGGTTTAGGATTAAGTATTATATCCTTTCTTTCGATATCTATTATAACTAAAAACCTAAATTTTAACTGAATCTCATTTTAAATAAATCTAATGAATAATAACAATATATTATTATATTTTCTTTTTTAATTTTTTATGAGTTCTGTAAAAATCCTCTATAATACTAGGTTATAAAAAACTGTTAACTGGTTGTCAAGTTGTAACTTAATATTAAATACAACCAATCGATCATTTCAAATTGGTATTGACTCCATTGCTAAGATTAAAAAAAGTAATTAAAGAGCAGGAGTTCATGGTGATCAATTATAAAAATAGTTTATTTTATATAGATAATTTAGTAATATGTCAATAATTATGACCAATTTGTTAAATATTTTATTTTGATAGAGTTAAATTATGAATAATAATAATGTTTTGATTTTAAGAATATTTAAAAATATGATAATAGTAACTATCTTCACTAGTTTTTTCTATTCACATAAAATGATGTAAAGAAAAAATGTGATATTAAATTTTATTAAATATGCACCTAATATATTTAAAAACATACATTTCTTATTCAAAATATAAATGCAACAATGCAAGTAAATTAGATAATGAACATATTTTACAAATATATCTATTTTGATAAATAATTTATTGCCTCTTAAATTTTAATAAAAAAATATATATTTTAGAACTAATTTTTAATAATCTATTCATTTTTGACTAAATTAGACTTTATTTCCATTTTACTATTTTAGATAGATTTACGGTAGGAAGGTAGAATTGATAGTGTAACAATATTTTTCATTACATTTTCAACTTGTCTTCCTCTTGAATATTATGATTCTTTTTTTTTTTTTTTTAGTTAGTAGATTGATTTAACATTTTTATTTAAGTAGAGTTATTCAAATGTTGTTTCTCATAATTTTATTGTATGTTTGACCTATACCTATATGATTGTTTTTATTATTTATTTAGTTAATTTTTTACAAGGTTATACAAGTAAAAAATATTTTTATATCCACTATTTTTTGTAAAAGTTAGATTTAAAAAAATAAAATAATAAGATTTATAGTAGTTATTTTATACTATGAATTCTTATTTTACTTTTGCAGTATATACAGATTATTATATTAAGTATATAATCATTTATGCTGTGTAGCCATAACAATTTATTTCACATTAATCATGTTTATTTAAATTTAAGCTGTTAAACGTATAATTATTTAATTGCACCAGGTCCCTCATCTATACTTAAAACAATTTTTACTTGTTTAATAAAAAATTTTATTTTCTAAAACTAATTATATATTATATTTCACTCTTAGTTTAATACAGTAAACTCTTGATTATTCCTGGAATAGGGTTGTACATCAACCATAAATAAGTAAATTCTGCAATTAATCTACTAATATAAATTTAAAAAAATAAATAGTTAGGTACTTATTTTTTAATAAAATGTTGTAACAAAGGGTTACATTGTCCTGCTTTTCCAGATATTGAATGAGCTTAATGTATCTTGGAGCTGTTTAATGTTTCATAAGTTATTACTCACTTGCTTTACTACATATCGTATCTCATCATTTTTTTTTTTTTTACATTTTGAAATCATATCTAATTGTTTTATGTTTTATTTAATATTTGTTCATCAATAAGATGCTCTAAGCTTGGAGCATTGATGTCATAATTAATCCACTTATAGATTTTATAAAATTAGCTAAATCAAAAGCTAAGACTTAATTTTTCTTTGCATACTCTTTCGATATATTTTCCACATTTAGTAAAATTTTATTTTTTTATATTATGATTAATGACTGATAATAAAATGCATTTAACGTACAAATTACAAATTGTGTTATCGGGTTATCGCAGCCCAATTAAACCGATTGTGAAATTGTAATGATTTCATAATAAACACTATTTTTAATACATCCATAGTTCCATGAAAGACTACGGACAATCAAGAGTCAATATTACGTATAATAATATTATATAATATTTTATTTTATTGATTAAGTCACAAACTAAATCTGAAAAACTTGCGGTTTGTCAGCCTTTATATCTATCTAAGGATATTTATAATTTATTTATATTATGCAATTAACTTTTTTTTCTATTATAGTCTAAATTCAGCAAATTTTTATCGCGCCTGCTATAATTTTATTTTTAGATAATTATGTTGGAATTTCAACAATTATTTTAAGTTTGTCGATGATAATAATTACACGTACCTTAATAAATTAGACCTTTTCATCAATTATCATATTTATTAATTATTATCAATAAAAACTTACATAGTTTCATATTATGTACATATATACATACTTTGATTTAGTTCATATTTAAACACGTGTTCTTGAACACATTTTGTTATACATTCATATTTTATAATTTAAATGTTAATATTTTTAATTTTATACACAAATAATAAAATGTACTCTATATTTTTTATCCAATTTCTTTTAAAATTTCTAATTTTTAGTTCTTTTTTGACAATCCAACAATACTTTTCTTTATTTGTTGGATTATCACGGCTTTACTACTGTAATAGTAAAATCATAATTTTTGGTTTAAATAATAAATACGCATCCAATTTTGTCAAATAAAATGCTCTTAAAAATTCGCCAACTTTTTTTTAATAATTTTGAATTGTTTTATAAACAATTTGTATATTTTTTATTTAAAAAATTTTTCTTGAAAATTGTATTGAGTAAACATAGAAAATGATAGTTAAAGTAATTGTAGAGTTTTTCGAATTTCTATGATAAATATTTCACAAAATATTAAAAAAACATTTTACGATAAATCATTATTTTATGTGTAATATTACATATCGTTAATATTTGAACTTAATCAGTCTATCGGTCTTACAAAATATAAATAGCTCAATTTATGTTTATAAAATGCCATAATGAATTAGATAAGAAATGTCGGATCTTGGAATTGCATAAAAAAAAAAACAAATAGACTGCGTAAAAGTATTTTTTTTAATTTATTCATTTTTTATCGATTATTTTAAAATTATTAGCGACAGACAAAAAAAAATATTATGATCAATAGATGTTCATCTTTTATTGTTCAACTCGGAATATAAAGTGATTATAATAATAATTTAACAATATTTACTATTATTATTAAATCTATTAAGTATTTTATTCAGATATTATGAAATAATTATTTTTGGCATTCTTGATTGTTAACTCAAAAATCTGATTAATGTTTTCCTTTTTTCAAATAAAAACAAAAAAAAAACGATCATTTTCCAATTTATGCTTTAAGACGTGATTATTTTTCCTGTAGTAATTTTTTAGTATAGTTAATTGTTATTGCCTCACTTGACTATAAATAGTATAAATGTACAACATTATTTAAATCAAGACAAAATGGTTGGTTTGATAAAGTCAAAATTTGTCTTTTAGAAAATTTAATATTCTCGTAAATATGTATTTAAAACAACTTAAAGTCATTACAAAATAATTAAAAAAAAAAAATTGGTATAGTTGTATGTAATCTACCTCATACTTGCCGCCTAGCATGCATCTAACTCAGTGGTTCTCAATATTTTTTTCCATCGCGGTACATTATTATTAGTTATTATAAGTCACGGCACGCTTTGGATAAATATTAAATATTATCTACTTTCCAAATATAAATGGTTTATTTATATATGTATAAAGTTCAACTTTTTGTGGCACTCCTTTCAAATTTCACGGCACACCCTTAAGGAAACACTGAATTCTAACTAATCATTCCCAATGATGAATCACCGGCGACGTCAATTTTATTAAACTTTATCGTAACGGTCAAACTTCTATTATATTAATATAATATTATAATATAACCTAGGTCTGGAAATAAACCTTATTATATTAGATAATCAGTTTTAGCTTGCTCAGTGTAGTATAATTTACTATTATAGGTATATTATATTTAGAATTAGATTAAGATGTAATCGAATGTGTATTATTGAATAATTTTTAACTAGGTGATTATATTTATATGTATTTTTTATTGTATTACATTTTTTTTTTACTCTTTTTAACGTCAGCATATATTTTTAATTTTATATTCCCAATCACTAATTGAAAAATTTGAATCTATCAAAATCAAATTCTAGACAAGTAGCTTATTAATATTATATACAAATATTTAAAGTTTTGGCTAGCAAAGTAGTAGACCAATATTTTGAGGGGTATCCCTGTTTATTCCTTAACACTCATTTAAAGTTCAAATACTTATATACTCATAAACTACTTATCAATAATTGAAATACTTAAAAATTAACAATTTTTTAAAATAAAGAATTAAAAATGCTTTTCTATAATAAAAAAGATAGTAAATACATTTTTTTTTTTTTGTTGTTATGTGGTTTTTATTAACTTAAAATAAAATAACTAAAAATATATTCAAGACATTTATCATTTTTGGAATAACAATTGTCTTGCATTGAATGGATTACCTGGTATATATGTAATATGTACTAAATATTTAAAAAAAATTTTAAATTGAGAGTTCGTAAAATATTGTAATGTAATAGTATTCATAATACATTTTAAGACCTAAAAATTGAAACACTATAAAAAATCAACTTACAAATATCTACATTTTCTTTAATTTTTTTGCTTTTCTTTTCATATTACTCGATAAATACATTCACTTCATTGTTATTGTTTTATCAATAACAAATCTTAAATCATAAAATAATAAGTAGTGTAAGTAAAATATATCAAGTAAATAATTTTGTTTTAAATAAATGATTAGATTAGAAATTAAATTTTTTTTTTAATAATCTAATACATAACTTTTTAAATTAAAAATTATAAATATACAATTTGAATTAGAATTATATTAGAAGTATAATATGATATTATTTATTTTTAAAAAATAATAATAGTAATTACTAATTTAGCTGTTGGATAAATCTGAAGTTCCAGAAACATGGGATATAAATTATGGATTAGTTAAGACAATATTAAAACACAATTTTCATTGTAATTTATAACTATTATAAATATATTATGTTTACGTCAACAAATGTTTTGCAAAAATGTTAGAAATTTCTGGTTATAATATTTTAATTGTATAATTAGGTCCTTAAAATGTATGCACTTAAAATCACTGATCTATGACACAATAATGTTTTCTTTTAAAGACATTTTTATATTTTTTTGTTATTCTTATTTTTTGCACCATGACAATAATAGATAATAATTAATGCAATTTAATCATATTTATAATCATTTATTATAACTAAAGTTTCACCTGTTTGTTTATAATTATTAATTACTATAGACTAGTTTACTAAGAAGAAATAAAATTATACTATCAATATATATTTTTTTTAGAAAAAAGTGTTAGAAGTAATAGCTATGAAATTTCAATAAATTATGGATAATGTCAAATAATTCTAAATTCTAATGTATTATTATTAAAAATTATACATCTAGATTTTGAAGAGCCCTCACTAATATTCCACAAATAAAGCCTAATGCTCCCTCCCCTTTAAGCAGTACTACAAAAAAATATTTATACTCTAGCTTAGTGTATCTCAGAGGTCACCAATTAATATTTTTTAAGGGCCACATTAGGGATCTGAACATTTTTTGCAGGCCATCAAAATTTTAAGTACATATTTTTTTTTTAACATATAATGGGTATTATTTTAAAATTGGATGTAATGAGAACATATTATATTATTAAATATGTGTTATTTATTCTTTGTGCTGGATAAAATTTGTTCAGGGGCTGTATGCGGCCTGCAGACTGCTATTTGGTGACATCTGGTATATCTTATTCTATGTTCCTAGATACATTACAGTACTGTGTGTTTTCAATAAAATACAGATAAAGTGTAGATAATTAGTTTTATTATTTTTATTTTGTAATTTAAAAATTATTATCTGTAGAGAATTAAAATATTCATCATATATATTTAATATTTTTTAGATGATACAATTTCCAAGGTATTTTGGCATTTTTTGTGTTTGTTTTTTTAGATATTAAAGTTATTGCATCTTTTCTTATAAACGTTTTCAAACATTTTTATGTTCCATCAATCAAGTTTAAAAATTTTAAACAAATTCAAATTTTGAGAAAGTTTGTAAATATCACATGTATTAGCAAATGTATACACATCATATTTTTTACATTTGTCATGTGTCTAGTTGTATTTATTTATACATATATAGGTGTTTTTTTATTAAAATACTTTTTTAATGAGGTTATTTTCAAATATTTCCCCATATACATACGAGTTATGACTAATTATGACCTTGTTTTTTTTTAGGGAATTATAAAAAGTTTAAAATGGTCATTTTCAGTTATAGGTTAAAGTTTTTCTGTTTATGTCTCCCCAAAATTGATCTATTGATATTTATTTTTTAGATCAGAGGTTCTCATATTGTGATATAGAAAAATTACATTCTTTGTAATTATTATTAATGTTGAGACAATGGTGAGCCCTAGTTTATAATTTTTCTATCCAATAATGGAGATGAATGACCATTTAGGAATAGACTAAAATAATTTTATAAAACATGTGTTAAGTAAGACGACAATTTCTTTAGTTTAGATGCATGTAATCAATGAATAATACACATTGTATTTCTTTTATACTTCTTTCCGCCTTAAATTATATATGATAAAAATAAAATTATGTGTATTACAAGTTAATAGTTGTTTATGTATAATTTTAAAATATATTTTGATTAATAGCTGAAGTTGATGCTGAAGTGCTAAGAAAAAAAAAATGTGTAGAGTATCAAAAAATGCAAGAAAACAAATTGTCATTAGCACAGATCAATGGACGTTTAATTCAACTACGAGACAAACGTGATGAACTTGAAGAAGAAAAACGTGCACTCTTAAATCAGTCACAAGCTACTGATGATAGTATGGCAACTGCTTTAGTTGTGCCTAAAACTGAATCTAATTGGTATTAATAAAATCAAATGCACAGTCTTTTAAATTTTATTATTGATTTTTACTTATTTATCTTTTTTATTCGTGTTTTACAGTGAGCCTATTAACAATAAGACTGTAGTGACCAACAATATCAATAATTCTGTTGTTACAAATCATCGGTCGACCCCTTTACTTCAACAACAACAACAACAACATATATTTAGACAACAGACTACAGTAGTTAATGCACAATCTGGTGCAGGATCTCCTGCTGCGGGTAGCGGATTAAGCCCATTGGCGCAACAGCCTTTGATTATGCACAATTCCAGTACCAGTAACGCTGGAAGTAGTAACCAAACATTATTAGTTTGTTCGCCAGCCACAATAAATGCTGCTGCAAACAATCAGAACAATAATGTGACTCGTCCTACTATGTCATTACCAGCTTCTTTATCTAGTACAATGAGTTTTACAAAATTTCCGCCGCTGTATAGCAGTAGTACCACTCATTTATTAGCGCCGGTAAATTAAAATTTTTAATCTAATTTAAATATGTTTACAATGTAAGTTTCTTTTTTAAACCACTACATTATAATCCCTAACAGATTTATTAGTATACAATTCAAGTATTTTGTTATTGATTGTATTTATCTAAAATATTTTTCCTCTCAATTCACTCTACTTTATAGCTAACATTAACTTATAACAAAATAAATTTTATAAATTACCTACATTCTAACTTCCTCTTTAATATTCCATTGTTAATATTAAACATTTATAGTTTATACTTCATATAAGTTCAATTAAAACTTTTATTTTTTTATTTATTTATTTATTTATTTTTTTTTTTTTGTTCATTTAGAATGTTGGAACCAGTAACAAAATGGGTAGAACACCATCTCCGCAACCCCAAACTATACAGCAACAAAACTATCAACAGCCACAAATTGTTGTACCTTTCCCTCCATATAAGCCAATAAATAATAGTGGTAGCACCACTAGTAATTTAAATTCTACTGCTCCAGTTTCCGTTGTAAATAGCATAAATCAGTCTTTGGCTACTGGAACCAATAGTAACTATCCTAGTAAGTGTTTATGACAAAAAAAAATATTTTTGTACACATATATAATATTTAGATTGTTTCACGTTTTTACATCAATATGATAGTAATCATACAATCTTTGCCTTTTGAAGAAAATTTAAAAATATATGATATCTATGTATTAAATGCTCAAATTTTTAAATATACTTTAATTTAGTTGAAAACTCAAATAGACGTGGAAATAGAGAAGACACTACACAGTCATTTAATAGAAATGTTTGGATTAACAACAACTGCAACAATACTAATAGTAAGAAGATTTATACAATTTTTTGATTTTTTGATGGTATTTCTTGATTATTGGTCATGTTTTCTAATCTCTTTTATTGATTAATAAAAATTGGATTTTAAAAACTTAACTTTCACACAAAATAAAAACAACATTACCAAATTCCCAGTGTCCTTTCTATAGTTTTTCTCTCTTGTACTCTTGTTTTCCTTGAAAGATGGATTTACCTCTTTGTCCTATTAATGCTTTTCCCCATTTTTTAAACTTCTCTACCACAACATCTTTGTTATGAATTGAATCAGTCTGAGAAAATATACTAAATGAAGTGCTAACAATTGTAACAGGTTGTCAAAGTATAGAAAATAGAATGGTATAATATGTTGATAGCATATACGTGCACCAATTCCATTAATATTCTTACTGTATTAAAAAAAAAAAATTCTTAAGATATAACAATTTTTGTTTTTAGAAAACACACAGCCAAATGTCAGTAATTATGGATCATTTTATCAATCGAATTCTACTACTGCAGTTAATTATTGTGTCAATAATGGCATGTTGTCTTCAGCTCCATCACTATCTTCAGTAAATACAGTATATAGTTATTCTGGGCCACCACCGCCACCACCTCCACCACCACCACGAACAGAATCGTCCAACAGTGGCAATTTAATCGTGAGTACAGCTGGTGATCATGGAGCTCAACAAATACCAAAACCTCTTTCTTCTCATCAACACCATCAACCTCATCATCATGCACACTCCCATCCACCTATGTACATGAGCCCAGGCATTCGAAACCAAACTAGTAATCACACATGTATGTTTATTGTGAACATAAATTTGTTTGAGTAAAATGGGCATTTTAATGGTTGTTTTATTTTTAATCAGATCACCCAAAACCACCTCATAATGTCTATCCAGATGATAAGTTGGCACCTCCTCCAGCATCTAGTTTTTATCAACAACAAGGCAGTAGAAATATTCATTTATCAAATACTACGACTGTTACGTCACAACCACATCAGATGGTATGTTTAAAACTTTAAATTAGTTTCACCTTTAAATAAACTTGCTAGTATTTTTTTTTTTTTGTTTTTGAACAGAATCAAAAACCACACAATGTTGGTTATCCTATGCGACATCCGACAGCTGCATCTCCAGCTTCTCAACTATCTCCAGCAATTATTCAGTCGTCTCAACAACACGTGAGTATTGTATAATATTTATAATATGATGATATATATAGTCTATTCGGAATGAGATCGTACCTCGGCGGTCGATTTCTGCACATGGGCATGGCTTTGTTCCACAGCGCTAGCCTTACGAGCTTTCGTGGTAGCATCTGACCGTCGCGAACGAAAACTGGTCGCCGCTGAGGTATGATTTCATTCCGAATAGACTATAGTATCTATTTAAACTAAGTATATTATTATGCTGAATACAGCTATTTTTTAACTTGTTGATTTTACTTCATTAATTTTGCATTAGACCATATTCTTTGTTATTATTTTTGATCAGAATTTTTGGTCATATCAACCGATGATAAATATAATTTTATTAATGTAGTAACTTTGCTTATACATTTCTTTTAATCATAATTTTATAAACATACTTATTGTTCAATGTTTTTCTTTGCAGCGGATTAAGTATAAAATAGTATTATTTTGTTATTTACAGGCCTCATATACTGTTCCGACAAGTTCAGTCACAGGGTATTCAAATAAACCGCCTGCCACTGTTGCTTCAACTACCGATATTCCTAGATATCAACAACCATCACAAACGCCAATGTCTAGACATGAATAATATTTGTGTCAAAGATAAATCTTGATAGCTGACGAAAGTTACCCAGATAAAATGAAATTTGGTGTATATTGATGTATTGCTTAGTTTTAATACTCTTTTAAACACACTTTGTATGAATAATACTGTGGTGTTTGTTATACAATATTATTACAATTATATATATATATTTTTTTGTACTTTGTAAATTTAATGACACATAATTTTTTAAGTTGTTTTATATACACGAGGGTATTCAATTATAATATTGACATTTGTATGTATAAATATGATTTTTAATTATAACTCTTGATATAGTTTAAATATTTCAATTGTATAACTAATTAAATTATTTAATAAACTGATTGTTTAATTTGGTTACTTAACGCTACTTTTATTTCGTCGGATCCCAAATGACTCCCATCTATTGTTTGCTTATTTTCAGACAGTTTCTATCAAAAAAGGTTTTACAAACGGGTAAATTCCAAAACGGGACTCCCATCAAAAAAAAAAAAATTTACAAATAGATATAATTGTAAACTCTACAATAATTATTAGACAACATGCCTGTCTGATCAAAAAAAAAAAAAAAACAAGCTTGTCGAAAAAATTATGTGTTGTATAAAACCGGAATGGTTTAGGAATTAACTTAACTTTTTTGGACGGGAACCGTTTGGAAATTGACTTTTTTGTAGAACGGGAGCCAAATGGGCTACAACCTTTTATTTTCATTAGTACTTGGATTATAATTTAATACATTCTTTTCGTCAATTGAATTTTACTCCATTATAAACTTTAAACAACTAATGAAATTCTGAAATTTTAAACTAACCTAAACATTCTATTTTAAAAAGATGTATCTTAAAAAATAAATATTAGACTAATTTATAATTGGAGTATATAAATAATAAAATGCAATAAATTTGAATAGGTAAGATCTATAAAATAAATTAACTAAAAATTCATGTTTTTTTTAAATATAGTAAAACGTTTTGTAAATTGTATTTTTCAAAAATTAATATAATACATTAAACAATCATTCTAGTTTATAATAAATAACAAAGTTCAATGCAATGGTTGTTCAAACCTCAACTGCATGTAATTTGAATTTCCAGGTTCTTTCACAAAACCCATTGAGCTATACCAATTCACGTAACTATCTTTACATTCCAATGAAATCTTGTAACAATTTAGGACGCGTGACAGAGCAATTAGACGTTGAACAACACTGTAATAAACAGTTGATTAAAGTTAGTAATTAGTTTGAAAGTTCATAATATAATACATAGACAAACACATATGAAATAATTGTATTATTTACTACAGTCAAATTTTACAGCTGACATTAATTCTGAAACTAGATGGTAATTTAGAAAATATAATAACATTAATAACTACATGTATATCAAAATAGTAAATATGAGATATGTGTATGAAATATGGTAAGTCTAAAATCATAAATGATAAGAGTGTTATATATTTATGTTATTTTTTAAATGTCTCCCAAATATAATTAAATAGTAGTTAGGATATCGAGTCTTCAAGATAAATTCTGATAACTTGGTTTAAATGTCAGAAATCTAACAATTATAAAATGTCTAGTTTTATTTCTACATTTGTATAAGAGTTCTCATTGATTGAAGTTTTTATTAGATGAAAAAATTGTTAAGACTGCTTACATTTTTCCAAAACGTTGTCCTCTGCATTTAGAGTTGACAACAATGTCTTCAATTCTACCGCGCTGCAATTTAAATGCATAGATTAATAATGTATCTCACAAGTCAGATACAACAATTATGTCTAACTTGTCCACATGAGTGTATGAACTTTTTTTCAATAGTTAGCGAACCAGACGCCACAATGCAGTTTTCCTCAGTATCTTCAACAACGATTATGTAATATGTACCACTGTTTTTCTTCATCATATCAAAAGTGTCTAGAAAAAAAAAAAAAAACACAATGAAATGTCATAAGCTAATAGTGTAGGAAGAGCATACAACAATCACACTAACTCGAATACATCTGCTGAGTGACGTTTCCTGTCACAGTCAGTTCAGACAACAGGTCCAAGTATCCTACGACAGAACGAAGAAAAAAAATAAGTACGCTTAAAAAGGAGAACGTATTGAACTAGAAAACACTAGTCGTGTACCGCGTCCGAAGTCGGTCAAGCACAGGGGTCTCAGCCGGTATTTGCAGCCAACGTCGTCAACCGACAGTCGGTTGTCTCCTGTCGCGTCGTCGGCGGCAGTGGCGGCGGCCAGCGTGCGTGGATCGAACAAGTAGTCGACGGCCATCGCTGTGGGGACACGAGACGAACAATAGGACAACAGTAAATAAACGGCGAAACGGCGGCCTCGGGCTAGCCAGCCAACACGTGTTTGTGTTGCGAGACGTAAACGTACCGCGGTAAGACCTGATCGGCAGCGACGATCGTTCGTGCCGGCGTTGACGAGGATCGATGACGACGGACCGTCGGCGGTGAAACGGGCGCGAGAAACGGCTCTTCTACCTCCACGCCACCGCTACTCGGACTCGAAATGCTATGCGAGTCGCGCATTCCTCGAAACTCGGTCTCGCGTTCGTGCGTTTTACTATAACTATATTTCACATCTTAGAGGCCGTGTTTAGCTTTCACCGCCAATGCTAACAGGTTATCAGTTATCACGAACATTTAGAACATAATGATAATGATAACAATAATAATAATAATAATAATAATAATTATGTGCTGTCACGAGCTTGGCGGCGGCGGTGCAACTCGCAGAGCAATAATTATTATTATTATTGTGTCGCTTGTTGGCGGTGCGGTGTGGCGAGGTGGTTCGGAAACGCGTACGTCCATTTTATTGGGCCGTGAGTCGCATTGAGTTGGTAGTTTTCGTTCAAGGCGCGCTTACGCGTGTGCCCGCACGACTGCTGCTCAAGCCGACCTTGCGGTGACGATTACTATGGATTGATTGTGTGGTTTATGGCGGTCGCCAGGAAGACAGTAACTGACTTACGACTTATCCGTCATCACAATCATACGATATTGATAACACTGTTCAAAATTTATTCATAATTTTATTATTGTCATTCATGTTCTGTATGACTCTTTCATGTTCACAGTGTTCACGCGCATCCTAGTTCAGAACGAAAACTAATGACAACAATTCGAAGGTTATTTATTAGGGATTTCGAAACCTAATCGAATTTTATGTCGAACAATATTTTAACGGAAGCCATTCTAACATTTTTAAAGCGTGTAGCAAATACTAAATAGTTCTTCACCAGTTGAACTTTCAGCTGTTGTTCACCCGTTAACCGAGGATCACGTGTTATTATACACAAATAATTTTAATTCAAGTAACTAAATATTTCAAAAATATCAACCAGGTAATTAATTTATATTTTAATCTAAAGTTATAATTGTTAAAACGTTACAACACTGATTGTTAGTTGACGGTTGTTGCAATATATAATATTATAGCCTATAGGACATGAATAACTAAGTATGTAAATAAGTACTGTACTCTCGATACTGGAGTACACTTGCAGTACTTACACGAACTAGATCATTTAAAAACTAATTAAAAACTACATTAAGCTAAAGTTTTAATAATGGTTATTTAATTGTAATTTCAAATTACTCAAATGATTCAGATAGGCATCTACGTGAATAAAATTCGTCGCGGTTTCAAATTCCGATTGAAACATTATTTCGATTCTGTAACTTATTCTGTAACTACTTAGTTGAGTACAACTGCGTTCCCAAACAGATAATAAGTAAAAACAAGCTATTACGTCCGAACATTTGATCATAAGTTTGAAGCTTTACCATGCATTGTTTTCAATAGCAAATTGCGTTAAAAAGTGACAGAATAAAAATAAAAAAATAAAAACGTATAAGTTGAGTTGATTTTAATTCATTAAAATACTTAATACAAATATGTTTTTGTAAGCAAGTTTATGTATGTCTAAATAATTACAAAAAAATCAGTAAAAAATTGTGTATTCTTCCCCATTATTAAAACGTATTTAATTGCACCACTAGCACTATTATAATACATCTGAAAAAGTCTCATATGTATCACGTATACAGTTATATCTACTATATAGTGTTTACAGTTATATATATACAGTTGACTCGATAATTCGAAACTTTCGGTAATTTAAAGTAAATGCTCGTTTTCTTGAAAATCTCGCGGTAATTCGAATAAAAACCATACATTTAAGTACCTACACTCAGTAATTCGAAATTTAATTTTAGGAAAACTGTTCACTAAAACGTAACGATTCGAAGTTTCATCCGTTCAAAATATATTCACCAGACGTATTTCTTACAACCTTTTTCGTTGATAATTTACTTGGTATACAATCGTGTAGAAATTTAGCTAATTATTTTCGATAACTATAGAATTATTATCATAAGATTTCTATCGTAAGCATTTTATTTCTTAATCGTCGTCTGTTAATAATAAATTATAATAATTTAATTTATATAGTACCTAGATATAATAAAAAACATAGTTTAATTTGCATTTTAAAAACAACAAAGAACTGTATTACCGTCTATTTTCTGAAATATTTAATAATTTTGTATGTTCAATAATAAAAACACTATTTTTTTTTCTTTACTCTCAGTAATTCGGATTTTTTTTCGCTCTCTCAATATTTCAAACTCTTGGTAATTTTGAAATTTTTCAAAAGTTCCGCAAACTTTGAATTTCGAGAGTTGTCTGTACATAAGTTTTTATTAGAGGGCGCCCACCCATTCTGATCACAATTATAAACATACAGCAGGATAATATGATTATTGAAAAATTAAATTCTACATTTTAGTTCGTTTTGCTACTATGATTAAAGTATTCAATTTTTGGAGTGTAACGTGGCTGGGGAACCTAGTTACTATATTAGTTATCCAGGGAAGGTTTTCTGGTCCTTATAGATAAATTTTCCGTAGCTGGGGGGTTAGAACACGGTATGTGGGATCTTATCAATAAATAAAACACGTTTGGTTTATAAATCTCTGTTCAAAATATATTTTTGGTTTGTACTTAACAAAATGTAGATGGTGGTAAACAATCCCGGTGTTGGTGAGTTCATGTTTTTTGGTGAGTTCGTGTTTATTGCTGGTCAGTCTCGAACTGCTCTTTCGATAAACGGTGCGTATTGGCCACAAGCCTCACAATCATTAACAATGTTTATCTCAGCATAAATATCCCACTATTGCCTACTACGGAATTGACACATACATAGGTGTCATGTAACAATAATATATATTATTGTTACAGGAGCATTCCATGTAAAGTACAAATCAACTAGCTTACTACCATAATACAACAGCTTAACAGTAGTCAATAGTAATGTACAACATTGTACAATGTACAGTATGTGAGTTGGTCTACTCCAACGATTACATTTTCTGATTCTTCATTTCAAAAATTATACTTCGTATATATATAGCTTTTTGTTTACCTAAATACATTTAAATTAAGTAAATAGGAAAACAAATAAACGGATAAAATTAGTTTAAAAATTTAGTTATAGTACGTATAAATTTCATCGTATATTCTGTCATATAACTATATGTATATTTTCAGTGTTTACTCAAAGATAATAATTATGCGTGACTGTTGACATATGTTTCCATCTTACAAACGTGCAACGTTCAACAATACAACATATTAAATTGGCTTTTAGTAAAATCGATTTCGTATATTGTTAACTTTAATATTAGAGCGAATTGACTTGTTATCAAACTTAATAGTAAGAAAAATATCTGTTATCTAATGAAGATTTTTAAAATATTTTGATTGTCAATCGAATAATGAATACCTACCTAACTATATATAATACTAAAATACAAAAATAATTATAACTTGTAACAATAAATTACAAATTTTCGTGATACTGATAAATGTTGTCTAACTATGAACTTTATATGTCTATAAAAATAGACTGTGCCTATATAAATTAAATATTTTTGTACAGCTATCAATAAGAACAGCTTATGTGGGATCTAGGTACAAATTTATAATTGTTTTGACCAGAAATAAAATATTTTTTGTTGACATTTATTGTGATAAAAAAAAAAAATATATATATTGAAAATGAAAAGCCGGACTAAAAATGTTTAATAAATCGCATTCTATATTTTATAAAAATATACAGAAACATAAGTTGAAACAATTTTGGTAATACAAATTATAATTTAAATCATTAAAATAACTATAGTCTACATTACAGTAATTTGCAGATATGAAATTCGACTACGCCGATGCAATATCGATTAACTCAATTAGGTATGTAATATTATATATAACATGACCTGATCGACGGCATTCCAGCATATAAATGTATATAACTATGCGCCTGTGTTTAAACGCGTTTTCGACAGGTAAAATAATAAATATTAAATAACGCTTGCTTTATGCTTGCATAATATTATTATAATGTGTGACCTACTTCAGTCCTTCAGTGACAGGATTAATTGTCTATTTCAATCCAAATAAAAATGTTTTTTTATATACTACAACATTTCCTTTTTTTATTTCTTACAAAAATACCATAAAAGTTAGTAAAAAAATGGTAGGCGAGTAAGTTGATCACTATTATAGATGTGGTAAATTTGAATTCAATGATACGCGTTGTATAAAAAAAATTATGTTGGGCATAAATGATCTTTCGGCCTATATCACTTAGATATTATACTTCGTGTTAGGATTTTTGATCTAACTATTAAAGTCATTTATTTTACTCTTAGTACTTATTACAGTAGATTGATAAAATGTTATCCTGAAAATATTGCATTTGTTATATTATAATTTATAAGTATTTAATTATTATAAAAATATATATTTATCAAATATAAGTATTTATATCACTTATATAACTCAACATTGAAAAATAAATTAAATTATAAGAAAATAATTAATATTGTTATTGTTCTTTAAATAAGTAACTTCGTCTAAATTTAAACTTAAGATGACTGTAAAAAATAATTTTCATTAAATACTTTGTATATTTTATGGTTTTAGTATGAAATAGATACTTGTGAAGAATCTTGTATTAGGTACATTTTTCCAAACTTACAAATAGAAAAATTTTTATGAACTACAAAATAATTTTCAATTTTTTGCGACTTTGACAAATTTTGTTAAAATTCTAACTTCAAATGCATATAAAAAAAGTTCTGCCTATATATGTATATTAAATATTTTTATACAGATATAAGAATAACTAATGTGGAATTTTTTATTAAATTTTCAAGAACTTTGAGACCATGAATAATTTTTTTATCAACAATTATGGGGAAAAAATTGAAAATTTTTCATTTGCACACAAAAAGCTCAAAAACAGTTAAAATATTTTGAAAATTTTATTCTATAATACTTATTGTAGTTAACTATATAATAAATGCCAATGAAAATACCTAAATTTACTTTAAATAACTTGCTTAATAACTTTATTCTTTTGAAACATTAACATACTAAAAAACTCTATCTTTTTTGCTCTACAGTTATTATTTTTTATTCTACATTATTTGTTACTAACATAAACTCTTATGAACTGTAAAATCTTAATTTTTTGGATCTTAAAATTTAAATATGATTAAGAAAAAATGAAGTCAACTTGCAATTACAAATTAAAAAATTTCCTAAGAATATTTACCTATTATTTTTATTTTTATAATAAAATCATAATACAATTATTATGTAGCCCGTTGCAGTTGTGTAACAGTTTTATTATTAATTAAAATATACTTTTTAATACAATTTAAACTATAATAATTTGTAAAACAATTTTAATTAGAAATACATACCAAATTGAACTTGCATCAATTTTAAAGGTTTTTTTGGGGGATTTTTGATTTGAAAAATCTTCGATTGTGTCATATAACTTAAAAGAATATTGATTTATATGCACGTGATTGACAAATTAGTTAGTCTTTTTTGTAACATAATCGTACGTAATTTAACGTAATATAATTTAAAATTATACCTTAATATTTAAACCTGAGAGTGAAATATTTAGTTGAAAAAGATCATCCAAATAAGTAACAATGTAAAAATGTAAATGATATTTTTCGGAGCCTCCGTCAACCTGAGACCCTAAGGCTTGTGCCCTTAGCCTTAAGGCTTAAAGTAAATACGGCTCTGTACATGCCTATTTAATTTTCATATAATATAAACAATAAACATAAAATAAGTGGTCTCGTCGTCAAAATTATTCTGGTTTATAATATAAATTATAATATTCTATTTTAGGTACGTATGTAGTCAGTATGAAAGTGTTGAGTAACCTACCAATGATTACTGTTAGTGGTATATTAAGGTACTTGAGGTATTTATCATATTACCCTCACGGCGGATGCGTTCTATTATTATTACCATTTCTACAATTTATATCAAATATCAAACATTCTGTATATTATTTATAATGTATATAGATGTAGTATTTTAACGAATTTTGTAAACATTTTAAATTTAAATGCTTATAATAAAATGTTATAATCGCGTATTTTTACTATTTTTGATATGTTTTAACAGATAAATAAATAAAACCTTGTGTGTTCAATTTTCAAGTGTTCTTATCCAGGAATATATTTTTCCTATAGAACATTAATATATAGTTTATAAATAGCTTGAAAAAAATCAAAATATTTTTAAAATTGTCATGTATAGAAAATGATAATATATAAACACTTTTTGTGAATTTAAATTTTCAAGTATCAACACTTATTCGTTTATGAGTTACATAAAAAAAAAAAATAAGTAAGTACTTTAACTACTAACTAGATCCTATTTTTTATCAGAAACCTTCCTTAAAATTAGAGATCGAAACATTATTTCAACTATATTCATATCATACTCTCTCTCTCTCTCACACACACACACACACACACACACACACACACACACACACATTGAAAAATCAATACAATTATCACTCTGCTCAAAATATAAGATCAATGATCATACATATTAATTATTGTATTATGTTATACTTTTATAATTTATAGCATAATACTATGCCTAATAACTATATATATATATAATATATATTTAGTCTAATATACTACGATTAAAGTTAATATAATACGTAGTACACTTGTTTTTAGAAATTACCATTTAATAAAAGAAGAATTCTTAAGACCACACGGTGAATAAAATTATTTTAAAATATAAAAAAATAACATTGTTAAATACGAATCATATTTATATTATTTATGCATACATTATATTTACGATTTCCTCTTATAAAATTGAATAAAACAATAATAATAGGTATAACAAGTGAATGGGTACTAAAAAAGTAGAATTGTTGTTAATAAATAAATACAATAGTGTAACTAAAGAATAAATAATTTATAACAGTATGGTATACGAGTTGGTATATTGTTTAACCACCTCTACAATTAAACTTATGGTTACTTTATAATTCTAATACGTTGAAAATTATTAGCATAAAAGTTAAAGATAAAAATAAACTTAAAATGATAATAATTTATTTGTTTGATATAATAAAAATATGGTTTTTTTTATAAAAATGATCGACATACACCAAAATATATATATTTTTTTTTTTTTTAATTATCAAAGACACGTGGAAGGCTCCTTCATTTTGCCTTTGCTGATATTGCAGTTCGCTGGAATCATTTTCCATAACCGTACTTGTTTAAAACTGCAAAATAATAATTACAAACGTTAATAACACTTTGTTTATATCCAATTTAGAAACCTTAAATCATTTAGTCCAAATAAATTAATAACATACACGTAGTCTACATAGATATATCTTAGCTTAGCGTAAGAAGGCTAATGTCAAACAAGAACATTGTTGGAAAATTATTTATATCATAAAAATATGATATTTGCCTTTACTGCAGCAAAGATATTATAGTCCCTTAAACATTTTTATGTATTTAGGAATTTAGGAGAGAATTGTGAGACATGTACAATTCGTATATAATGTATATCTAGATGTCGGAAAGATATTACATAAATTGTTTCGCGATTATGGACTTGATCCTCTTCAACAAAATTTCATCATTATATTATAATACACGTAAGTATTTATTTGAATATTTTTTTGTAAAAATATCATCGCATATACAACGTACTAATATACTGTGTCCCACAGGTAGAAATTTTATATTGGAAATGAAGAAAAAAAAAACATTGTCGTTTTATACGTACCGTCAAATTCTTTTTCTACTGTTATCAGTAGATCGTACCACTGAGGTCCAGTAATACAAGGGACGTCCAATGTACCACCGTAGCATTCCGGTAGACACGGCTGGTATAAATGTTTGTGCAGAGACTGTCGGTCGTTACCGTGGAAAACGATCTGTAACCATTTAATAATAATTATTTTTACTTATTATAATATACATACTGTTGCGCAAAAAGTTTGCAAAACAATCACTCTAGGTACATCAGTTATTATGTATTTGCATTAATTTTTTGTAAAATACCTCTTTTGGTCCATCAGAAATGAAATGAAACTACCAACATGTGTTTTAAATTTTATATTTTTGTTTTTATGTCAAACAAATTTCTACTATTTGACATATAATCAATTACCAAGAGAACATTACATATAACAATAGTATATTTTTATACCATAAATTTATGAAGAACAAATTATAAAAAGACAATTTATGTATGGCGTGGGTCTCGTTTTTTGTAAAAATTTAAACCACATGGAATACAAACTTAAGACAAAAGTTCCTAAATGCTATAAATCATGATAACTATAGAAAACTATGAATTATATAAATTTATAACTCACTATCAAAATATGAAAAAGAAAAGAAAATTTAAAAATTACATTCTCAGTTCTTTAGTATTTTATATCTTAGATCTTATCGCCTACATACAATTTTAAATAAACGCTTGAAAATTATTAAAATTATCTGTAAAAAAACAATATAAAGAATGGAAAATACTCACACCACTCTAAAATTGAAAATAGAGTCTCCCCTCAAATCTTACAAGATAAAAATAAAATGAGGAAATATCGTGGACCCTATATTTATTTAATACATATTATAAGTAATATTTATGTATAATTGAATGATCAGAAATATTATATAAGTAGTATTATTAAATATTGACTGTCTTATCGTGATTTTAGTTCAACTTTCGTGTCTCGGCTCTCGTCTTTCCTCCATTCACCAATATGGCTGCAATATATGATATATAGACATAAGACTATCTGTTTAGATATTAAGTGATTGAGGTATGTAAGAACTTGAAAACTCCTTATCCTAACTGTTATCCCCCTTCCCCATGTATTAAAATATGTGAACTCACTCTTGATCGCAGTTTTTCTCTCAGGAATGGTTTGAAGAAGTTGAAGACAACATTAAACAGCACCGGTTGGTTGACGATGTGTATTCCTTTGATTCGCGCCGGAACAGCGTCCTGAAAACGACATATACATATAGTAACAATATTATTTTTAGCATGCATAGGTAGTAGTGATATAGTATATTTTTGTAAAAATACGCACGCCCCATCACACTCGAATATAGACGATATAAAACATTATCAATATTATTCTCAAAAAAATTTGTAAAAATCAAAATCAAAACTTATGTTACATTTTGTTACATCTTATACATAAATATCATACTTTATACACACTATAATATTAACTATTTTTGATTTTTTCCTATGATAAAATAATTGTTCTATAATTAAACATAAATTACATATATTATGACAAGAATTTTCGAAAATAATATTGTTAACTGTTCTTATTTATTATAGAAATTATTATTTATAATTTATAATTAAGTATTGATTTTAATATTTATATATTTTTCTTACTTATCAATTTTAAAAATTAAGCATTTAACACTTCTATAATACACCTACCTTAAAATATTTTTAATATTTAAATACCTACCTTGATTGGGCTTGCTTTATAATGTTTAATTATTAACTAAGTATTATACTAAATATTATACGTATTATCTCTCTAATAATATATAAAACTCGTGTCACAACGGAACAGAATAAAATCAACAAAGACGTTTAGAAGCACATCAATTCGTAGTTGACACACGTAGAGCAAATGACTGAAACGTCAACAAGTATATCGAGTATTTACATTAAATTCCTTCGTCTAGAATTCGAGTATGGGTCCGATATTAAATACTATGCTCATACAAAAGTGGAGATTGGACAAGGAATTGATTTTAATTACAAAGTGATGATCTTACTATTTATAAGGCAAAACAAAGTTTGCCGGGTCAGCTAATATAATTACATAAATATATTATACCACATATTAATAAAAACTATTAGAAAAACTATTAACAAAATTCTCTGTTTTTTTCATTCTTAACCAATACTTATAGCACCATAAGCTATGGTTTTTACTTATCTATTAAATTTTTTTTTTTCAAAGTAAATTATTATTTTAATTTTATTATTTTTGTGTGTTTATAAACGTATGTAATTTAGATTTCATGATTCATACTTGAAGCCAGTCGACAATTCGCTTGGCGAACGGCGGGCTAAATTGCCAAGTCTGTTGCAACGATAGACCGTCCATGTCGAAAACTACTTGGGCTCCAGCTACTTGGGTGGCTGGTTCCATTATAGCTGCTTCGAGGAATATCACAGCACCTTTGTATACTTCGTCCAGCGAGCACTTCTTGTGCTTCCATTTTTCTGGAAAACCATACAAATAAGTACATATCAATAAAAATATTAAATATTAATTGATTCAACGTAATAATAACTTTTTTTTGTTGCAATTTTAACTTGTATCGATAATTTAAATAAGAATATTTTCAGATTTATTTAAATATTTGAAATAATAAAAGCGAAGAACTTATTTAATATAGATTCAAATGAACCATCATTGAATAGATCACTATAAAGGATGTATCATATTTTAATGTAGGTACAACGATAAATCGTTGTAGATGAAAAACAATTTTGAGCCTTTTTTTTTTGAGAATATTCTATATAAAAATACCCATGTATTTTAAATACTTTTTAATTGCTGTAAGAACATTTTATGAAAAATCTAATTTTATATTTTCAAGATTTGATCATGAAAAAAGTTTATTACAAAAAAAAATCTATATGTCAACAACGCTTATCAAAAAAATAATAAAATAATTTTAAAATTTAAAATATTTATAAACAAAAAACAATTATGATTTTATTGAAACTGCAAATGTTGTTTAAATATACCCTTCTGTAAACTCTCCTCTTTCTTCGATAATTTAGAGAAAAAAATTGTATTCATTTTTTAGTTCAAAGTACCTACTATATTTAATTTTTAGAACACGTAACCACCCGTAAGGTTTAATATTGAAAATTTTTTTCTGCTTAAAAGCGTCTTTATAATTATAAAACCTCCACATTCATTGTTTTTATTATAAATTTTTCTTTCATCTTTTAATGCACTATATTACACAAGTAATATTATAGTTTCATGGATTAAACAAAAAAAGTATTTTTTTTATAAGCTACATTTTAGAAGTTATAACGGTTAATCAATAATTAAATTGAATGGTTTATATTAACTTATCTAGGTGAATTATCAACAATAAGTAACTTACTTCCTAATTCAATAACTAAAATTCTACGTCCGCCTTGATCGCGTTTTGGTAAAACATGTAGTATATCGTGATCGAAAATATTTTTTTCAGTCTTGGGCGAAAGGCCATTGTATATATTTGAGTGTTTCACTTTGAATTGGTAGTATTGTTTGATCTAACAAGGAAATTTATTTGTTTATTACATTATAAATGATAAAATATACAATATAATAATAGGTATTCGAGTCCAATGACCTATAGTTATTACCAGCTTGTATGCGCTTTCTGGATAGTATTTTGTTGGACGAAGAAAGCGAATAAGCCATGCTTTGTTGTGTATGGGCGCTTTGAGATCGGTGTCTTCTAAAACAAAATAACAATAATATTTATAAAAATTGATTTATTTTTTTAGCATAGTACCTAAGAAGCATAATACCTATATAATATATCAGTAATATTTATTCTATACCTTATTAAATATTCAATATAATATGGCTGTAGGTATATTACTGAATACTTAAGATACATATATACATATTTAAATAATTTAATAAAATAAATACATTTATTTTTTAAATTATACATACATAGTTTATTATATATTCTTTCAAATACGTACGTATTAAATATATATATATTCATAGTATAAATAAAATTAATTGCATATTAAAAACGATCGGTTAATTATTAATTAACACATATACTTTCATCTTGGTTCTAAAGTGTTTCTAATAAGCGGCTTCTACTGTAGTACATAGTAAAGTATCCTTTATTAATCGCGTTAAGTAGATAAAATTTACCATGTTGTAGTTAATAATCAATATCATTAAAATTTATAAATAATTAGCTACTAAATTTAAATAAATAAATATTGACTGTATGGATTTAAGTATAGTATTTTATTTTATTATAGATTGAAAGTACGTGATTATGGGAGTATATATTATAATTTTATAATAATCACTTTAATTTAAGATGTATGAATATAATTTATCTTTGGTAATACATTTTTGTATGTAATTGCGTTGTATAATTGAATCTCTTGTTAAAATTTTTTATTTTATGCTAATCAAATTAATCATAGATTTAAGCAAAAGTGGGTATATTAATGAACATAGTTAGAAATTAGAATATTATATTGTACATCTAATCTAGTATATGCCGTATGTATAAATAGATATACGGATAAGCTGCAACTTAACATCCACACAATTTATTCAATAAATTAAAATGAGAAACGCTTTGAAAAATTAAATAAATAAGACGTATTAGGTATATATTATAATATTCCAAAGAGATAATTTGTTTGTTTATTCAAATGTATATAGATAATACACTATACAGATTGAACCACTAACGACTAAAAAATATATGTATATATGTATTTACATGATTACCAATTAACATACTACCATTGCGATTGCATTTCCTACAGAAATGATCTATAATCTGACCAATTCTTAATTTCAAATTATAGATCATCCTGTTTATGTGTATAAAAGAACATGCCTTTTTTTGCCAATTTTAAAACTGAACCAAATATCTCTCTCTCTCTGA